CATCGCCCTCATGTAAGTTGCCCCAACATTCTTCAAACCAAATGGTATTACCCGATAACAGTATATTCCACATGGCGTGATGAATTTTGTCTTTTCTGCATCTTCCTCATCCATAAAGATCTGGTGATATCCCGCGTAACAGTCCACAAAAGACCCAATCTCATGCTTGGCACAATTATCTATCAGAATGTGAATGTTCGACAATGAAAAATCATCCTTTGGGCTTGCTTTGTTAAGATCACGGTAATCAACACAGACCCTGGTCTTACCATTCTTCTTTGGTACTGGCGCAACATTGGCTAACGAAGTGGGATATCGAGTGACTCGAATGACCTTTGCAGTAAGCTGCTTTGTGATTTCTTCTTTGATCTTCACACTCATATCAGTTTTGAACTTTTGCAACTTTTGCTTGACAGGAGGTAATGCTGGATTAGTTGGCAATTTATGAACTACTAGATCAGTGCTCAGGCCCGGCATATCGTCATATGACCATGCAAAGACATCTTTGTACTCAAACAATGTTTTGATTATTTCCTCTTTAACTTGCGGTTCTAAATGCACACTTATCTTGGTTTCCCTAACATCATCCTGGTCCCCTGAATTGATTGTTTTAGTCTTACTCAAATTAGGCTTTGGTTTTTCTTCAAATTGTTTTAGCTCTTTACTGATTTCCTCAAATGTTGTTTCTTCATCATATTCTATTTCATCATCATATTCTACTTCTTAGATTGTTATTTCATAATTAGATTGGCTTTTAAGACTCGGCTGAAAACTCTTCATGCATGTCATGTCACTGCAACCAGCATAAAAAGAATTATACAAAAGAAAAAAGAACAAAATAAAACACTATTAAGAATAACGGAAAACGAAAAATTGCATTTCATTGAAAATAAAAGGATAAAAGGGTTTGAACATCAAAACAAGCAAAAACTAAAAATCTGGATTACAACCCTGGAATAACCCAGATAACAGAAAGAAAAACAAAGCAAATTACCAAAACTCCTTCCTAGTGGGGAGATGAGTAGCTTCCCAATTGCTAAGCTTCACATTTGGGCCAACGAGCTGCACATTTGCTTTACTAGAGCCTTCACCAACTTCTACCATATTGACTTCTTCGAATAGACTTTGGAACCTCTTGATCAGCTCTTCATCAACATCCACCACAGGTTTTGGGATTGAGGAGGTTGGAGGTTTTTTGGTCCCTAGCTTGACAAAAGACTTAGAGATGTGTAGGACGGTCTTTGAGAGCGACCATACCTTTTGTTTCAGATTTTTAACCATTTTCACGTCCTTCTCTGTGAGCATGAATCCCAAACCAAATGTACCAGGATTCCCACTAGGGCGCACTGGATGCACAATACCCTGCAGAGATTAGCCCAAACCCTTGCCCGGTACAAAACCATTCTTCAACATTTCATTCGCAACCATGACGGATGCGGAGGATAACTAAGGACTTGGAATGCATTTTCCTTTAGGAGTTTTCTCAACAGACACTGTTTCGAAAGTTTGATAGACCAAGGTCCCTTATCATCTTCTGCTTCGATAAACAGAACAATTGTATCATGACAAGCTGATAAGTCCTCATCACCGTGCACAACTATTTCCTGCATGTCCCATTCGAACTTCACCATTTGGTGCAGAAAAGACAGAACTGCCTTAGCAACATGTATCCAGGGCCTGCCCAACAATAGATTGTAGGAAACAGTCACATCTAACACTCGGATTCCATGGTAAACTCAACTGGCCATATCGACAATTCGAGCATTATATCTCCAACAAAATCTTTACCTCCCCCATCAAAGCCTCTGACACATACACTGTTCAAGTGGATTCTTTCGGTGCCAATCTTCAATTTTTGCAGGGTAGACAGGGGACAAATATTCGCACTAGAGCCATTATCAACCAAAACCCTTGAGACAACAGAATCTTCACACTTCACTGTGAGATAAAGAGCTCGGTTGTGTTCTGTACCCTCCATAGGAAGTTCATCGTCCGAGAAAGTGATCCTATTTGCTTCGAAGCTCTTGCCAGCTATCGTTTCCAAGTGGTTCACTGCGATCTTATTAGGAACATGTGCCTCATTCAAAATCTTCATCAAGACCTTGCGATGTTCATCTGAATGTATCAACAAAGACAAAAGAGAAATCTGAGCTGGTGTTTTCCTTAACTGATCTACAATGGAATAATCCTGCACTTTCATCTTTTTTAGGAACTTCTCAGCCTCTTCCTCGGTGACCGATTTCTTTACTGGCATTTGGCTATCCTTGAATGGCTTGGCTTTCCTTAATTCTTCTAGGGTGAAACATCTCCCAGAACGAGTCAATCCTCTAGTTTCATTAACTTCTTCCTCTATTTCTTTTCCTTTGTATGTCACTATCACTTGTTTATAATTCTACGGAACAACCTTGGCATCCACCACTGGCAGCTGGGTTACTGGTTTAATGATGATAGGGGTAATAGGATCCCCCTTCACAACTATGACAGGCTTACTTGGAATCCCTGGTACTATTACTTTTGAACTTTCCAGACTTGCCCCGATATCTTTCGATAGCCCTTTTACGACCAACACTGGTGGTTTCGAATCGAGTGAGCTTGGCTTCTCTGTCACCCATTCGACTATCAAGGGCGTTGCTTTGGTAGAGTCCGGAGCTTTAACCAAATTGCTTTCACTGGCCCGAATCATCATGACGGACTTAGAAGACTTCTTGGGCTCCCCATCCTTATGAACTATTTCAATCATATGTGTCTCTGCATGGGCTGGCAAAGGGTTTTGGTTGATGTTTGGCGCGTCTGGGCTTTGGACTACAATTTGGTTTGTATCAATAAGCTCCTGGATTGCCCGTTTCAAATGACAACACTTCTCTGTGTCATGCCCTAGAGCATCAGAACAATAGGCGCATCTTAGAGAATAATCGAGGTTCTTTGGAGGGGGATTTGGTATCTTTGACTCAATTGGACTCAAGACGTCCAACTGCCTTAACCTTTGAAATAGACTAGTATAGGATTCTCCAAGCGGGGTGAAAATTTGTTTCTGCTGCTGCCTCTCTCTCCTATACTCTGGCCTTGATTGAAAATTCGAACCAGTGGGGTTTTAATAGGGTTGTGGGGGTGGATAGGTATTTTGTGAAGCTGGGTAGATATTCTGCGGAGTTGGAGCACGCCATTGCGGGTAAGAAGGGGGTTAAGCATATGACTGTGCATGGTGAACAAGGTATTGGGATTGCCTGGCTGAGTATTGGGGGTTTTGCGAGGAAAAGTAATGTTGAGGTTGATTATATGGAGCTTGGGAGTAGGTTTGAGGTCGGGGTCGAGGATGGGTGTATTGATGAGGTGAACCCCTCTGGCCATGCCATGATCCGGAGACAACCATAGCGACATCTTCCTTCTTCTTCTTGCCTACCAGACTTCCGGTACCACTCTGGATTGCCTGGGTGGTTGCTTTTATAGCAGAATAGCTCATAATCTTACTCTACTTGAGCCCCTCTTCCACCATTTCTCCCATTTTCACCACATCATTGAAAGACTTACCAATGGCTGAGATCAAGTGGCCATAGTAAGTGGGCTCCGGGGCTTGAAGAAAGTATTTAACAATCTCGTCTTCTTCCATCGGAGGATTGACTCGTGCAGCTTGCTCCCTTCATCGGAACCCATATTCTCTAAAGCTTTCACTGGGTTTCTTTTTCACCTTGGTCAGAGATAGGCGGTCTAGAACAATGTCTTATTGTACTAAAAGTGTCGGGCAAAGGCCTGAGCCATATCGTCCCAGGTGTATCACCTGCTGGCGTCCTGGCGGGTGTACTATTCTAAAGCTGCCCCACTCAGATTTTGGCTGAAGTATGCCATCAGCAATTCATCTTTTCCCCCGGTGCCTCTCATTTTACTGCAATAACCTCTCAGATGAGCTACAGTATCCACATGTCCATCATACAAGTCAAACTTGGTCATCTTGAACCCGGCAGGCAGTTGGACATCGGGGAACAAACACAAATCCTTATAGGCCACACTCACTTGGTTTCCTAACCCTTGCATATTTTTCAATGATTGCTTCAGACTCTGTACCTTCCTAAACATCTCTTCTTGCTCTACGTTCTTAGGTGGTTTGTCAGTTTCAACATGAGGCTCAAATTGGGGAGTGTAAGAGTAAGGATTTGGGACTTTGAAGGTGGGCTCTGGTGCATAGTAGTGGGCATCTGTAGCGGGGAATGCAGGCTCACTAGAGGATCGATGGAGGGTAGCTTGTGGAGGGGGTAAGAAAATAGGAGTAGATGTCAGATCAGGGTACGAGGTTGTTTTGGCTGGTGGAGCATGAATAGTTTGGGTTGAAGTGCCGGGGTAGTTGTGGTAAGGGGTAAAGCCAGGTGCGTGTTGTGGGGAAAGATCAATGGTATTGGGCAGGATTGAGAGAGTGGTGGAATGGAAGCAGGGTTTTCTGTGTAGTTGGTAGGGAACGAGGGTGGAGGGTGTCTCTTAATCCAGGCTTGATACATTTCTGCCATCTGATGCTTCAACCTCCAGACCTCCTCTTGCAGTTCCGATTCTGACTCAACAATATCCCTTGGTGGGTCTACAACTCCAGTGTCTATTTCCTTGCTAGCCATGACTGTTTGACGCTTTGATCGGGTGTTGTATGGATGACTTGCCAGGATGCCAACTAACTAACCACCTTCCTGAAACTTAGAGATAACAGAGGACAACAACACAAAACCATCATATTAGCGTTAGAGCATTAATCAAATAATAATATCACATTACGTGCAATACACTTAGCAATGATTAATGGTTCTAAAGTGGCTTCGAGGGTCGCAAAGTCATATGGCATCATCCCAATTTGCTCATTTCAATCCTTCATTCTCTTTCTTTTCCAACACCTCTCATCACTCTTTTCTTTTTCTTTCTCTTTCTTATTTTGAACCAAATATGATTTGATCGAACCCGATGTAGGTTGCCTACGTATCATGTCCCTCATGAATCAGACCAAGCGTAGTTCTGGAGAAGTGATGGAAAATAAACTGAAAACAAAATCTTTTTGGGATTTTTCGTTTAAAACTTTTCAATATTAAAATACAAAGGGAAATACGATAATGAAAGACATGACAGACTCGACTACACTATGATAGACTCTGACACTACCTAAAGGACTCAGTACTCCTAGAAAAGACGCGAAAGTAAAAGACAGCATAAGACAATCTCAAAACATCTAAATAGAATGACTCCTCAAACTGCTCCTGAATGCGACGGTCCTGGCTGGGATGGGTCCAATGAAGATCCGGATGGCCCCGTCAATCCTGTCGAATCTAAGCTCTGTATTATACCCTGCAAGGACACCTCGAAGCTGAGAATGAGAATCCTGGAATGCGCGCCTGCATCTGAAAGGCTGACTCTAGTAAGGTACTCACGGTGCTGTCCCATGTTCTCTACCAACCCTACCAACTGTGATCTCAGTGAATGGAGTGTAGCTCGGACCCCAACCCTTTCTGTTGCATAGGCCTCCTCTTCCTGGGTAAATCGATCTATCAACTGTCTAAGCAATATCCGTGAGGTAGCCTCCTCGTTAAATACTGCTCTAACATGTCAGGGCAACGGCCTGCTAAATCCTCGCTGAGTAGACTGTAGCCATATGAAGTACTCATGGGTATACCCAGGTGAATGTGGGTCAACTGCTAAAGTATCCCTACCCATCTTCATTTCATGACGCCAATAGGTCTGGATGTTGACCTCCCTGTGTGGCATAGTGTCAAATTCCCTGATGAAGTCACGAGAATCAGGAATGTAGGGGACTTCTTGCCGCCTCCCTAACTGACGCATCACTCTAACAGGGGTATATGGTCTAGTACACCAAAGTCCAATCAGTACCAAGAAGTCTTGCACGCAAGATCCTGCTAAGATCACGTCCAAATCAATCCATAGGTATGACCACAAAATCTTCTCTTCAGTCAAGGATCCTAAATAATCAACCCAATCCTGAACTCCGGGTGGTAAGGCAAACCTATCGAATGTCATCCTATGCTCGATGCACTTCACTCGATCTCTCAGACAGCAGTCAATCACATCTTTCTCAAACATGGTGGCGGGATGTAAGTGTTCCATCATCCACAGATGTAGCAACAAGTTGCTTCCCTCAAAGAACCTCCCACCTTCTCAAATCCTGGTCAAAGCACGATAGATCTCTGCCAAAATTGTCGGAACCAAGGTGACCTTACTACTATGTTTATCATGGAAGAGTGCAAAGGCTATTGACCCTAGACGTGTACTAATATGTCTACCTTCCAAAGGAAATACCAGGAGACCCAACAATGCAATAGTGAAGACCATAGGGCGCCTCTTCTTCCAAGAATCATATGATATGGAAAATTCATCTACGAAGGTCTCATACCCAGTAGGACGAGCAAACCTCTCGAATAAAAGTCCAAAGGTACCCAAGATTGATCTAGACACCCCATGTGATCTTCAAAATCCATCCCTATGATCTTAAGGAACTTGGTACTTCAATGAGCCCTTGTGTAAATCAAATCCTTGTCTAGGTATGGCAGGCGGGTTAACCCGTCTATCTCAGCTAAGGTGGGTGTCATCTCAAGATCCCCAAACTTGAATACCATTCCCTGCAGGTCCCAAAATGTCAATATTGCTTCTACAAGGTCGGGACGGGGAGTGATATCCATCAAATAAATAAGAGTCCCTAATTTTCCCATCAAATCATGTTGCTCAAGTAATGTGAACATGTTCCACCATTTTACTAGCCTTCTAGGGACTTTGACCGCCATTGATACTCTAGCATTGGTGAGTGGATCCATACCTGAATGGAAAAAACATGGTTAATGACTCAAAACATTATGTTACACCACAACATTTACTAGGGGACGACTGGGCTATTTTTGCAAAATGGCCTGGGGGCCAAAAGTGGCTGAAAATGCAAACTCAAGAAAGGTGACCTCAAAGACATGGGAATACCTCACTAAAGCTTATCTGAATTCTAACTCCTAATAATCATGGCCCAAAATTAATTTGCAGAAATGACCCATTTTGCAAAAACGACTGATATGGCCAAAGTGGCTAAAGATGCAAACTTGAAAAGGACGGACCTTAAAATAATATGACACCTATTTGTGGACTCAAGATCCTAAGACATGGGTTATTGAACCACTTTTGCGAAAATAACCCCAATTTGCAAGAATGACCGATGTGGCCGAAAGTGGCTAGAAATGCAAGATATGGCTAAGACCCCGCAAAGCCAAGAACCTAAGACACTAGGAAGATCGGACCCTATGTGGGTTTCCTACGTATCACGTCTCGAAAAACGAAAATCAGGTTTGCGTAGTTCGGGAAGATTGGACATGGGAGAAAGCCTTTAAAAAATACAACTAATTTGGAAAATCATATTTTTGTCTTTTGAGAAATGATGAAAAATGTAAAATCTTCTGGATTTTCTCTTCTTATTTTTTTGAATTTTGGAAAATGATAAAAGATGTAAAATCTTTTGAATTTTTATTTTGAAATCTTTTTTTTTTTGGAATTTTTTTGAATTTTTTTTTTGGAAAATAATAGAAAAGTGTAAAATCTTTTGGATTTTCTATTTTCAAATTTTTTTTCTTTTTTTTTTGTAAAATAATGGAAAAGTGTAAAATCTTTTTTGGATTTTCTTTTTCATTTTTGGAAAGTAATGGGAAAGTGTAAAATCACCTACTTCATTTTATATTTCATCCTCAAATATCATTGGTCCGCCAAATGACCTCTTTACCCCTAAAGAGATGCAACATGTAGCACATAGGGATAATTAAATGTCTTTTTGGGCCATGAGCCCCTTTTGACATAATTTGGATAGGCCTCCTACAACGGGACACGGTGCTTGGGACCGAACCCTGCTAGGTTTAAATGATATGATGCACATAAGTATGACCTAAAGGCTAACCTATGGTTGGGGTTCAATAGACAAGGCAATTCGGAGTGGCACGTGGTCGATGGCGGCTGTTCTAGTTGTCCGCCCACTCCACGCTCCCACGCCACCCTCCTAAAGACACGGGTGACTCACAAAAAGACCGTGTACGCTCAAACGTACTCCGGAAGACTTGTTGCAGAAAGAAGACTCGGGACTATGCAAATGATGACAATTTATAAAGCAGTAACACATAAAGAAAAAACTGTAAACAAATAAGCAACTAGCAAATAAAACGACATAAACAAAATAAACTCGAATAAAACAAATAAAACACATAAAAACCTCAACCGAATATCCTAGAAGCCAACAAGATCAAGTACTAGTTTGAACCTGAGATTCCCAGCAGAGTCGTTACAGATGTCACACCCCTTTTTTAACAAACCTCACTAACCCTCTTAAAAAAATAAAAAGATTTAGTAAAGCTTGAAAGGGTTTTTAAATTCGAAAGTGACAAAATTGTGTTCAAAAGGAAATAACTCAGAGTCGCCACCTGACATTGGTTTCGGTGTGTCAGGTCACCGTTTTTAAAAAAAATAATTTTCCTTTTAAAACACTTTGGACTCCAAACTAAGTCTGCACCAGAGATTCGGGTAAGGGGGTTCATTTGACTCGGGGAGAAGGTGTTAGGCACTCCCCAAGTCCCGTAAAAATCACGGTTGCGTACTCGATCTAGTTGGCTTTTAAAACATTCAATTGAAGTAGAAAACACAGAAAAAGGAAAATAAACACACAAGAGGCTCAAGGTCGTCCCCGTCTAAATAAAAGTAAAAGAAAAATGAAAATAAAATAAAAACACTACAAGTTTTTAGTGTTGACCTCCATTTACAAATACTTCAGGGCATACCCCGAATAAAAATATATACAAATCCCTCGGGGCATTCCCCGGATAAATTTCACTAATGGAACGACCTCTCGCCTCGAAATTAAAAGCAAACAAATAGAAAAATCCAAAGATTGCCTACCCAAATGTTGTCGGCCTAAGCATGCTCCTAGCGTTAATGAAACTAGCAATAATGAAGCAGAAATGAAACATATCATATTAAACCCAATTCTCTTTCATTATGTTCAAACCTCCACTACCCGATTTTTTTCTTTTAACTTAAACCATCCCGCAGCCCAAACATTGTTATGTCCAAATTACAACCCAAATCTGAATTGGTTCGTTCATCTCATGTTAAAACAAATAATCGAAATTATCGTCATAATGTTTCCAATCAAACATGAAGGCCACCAAGAAATTAACCAAGCAATATAAACAATCAACAAGCATTTATTGAAATATTAATTAAAAGAAATGAGAAGAGAGTAAACCTTAGATGAACCAAAATTATTCTGAAATTTTGACTAAAAGGAAATCCCGGGTTTGAACCACAACTGGAAATGAAACTCGAACCTCCGACAGGAACTCAAATAGAAGACCGTTATCGATTGGGAACCTCGCTGAAACTGACAGGACTGCCTCGTTATCTCCTTGTTCTGCTAAGTCTATGCGTGGGTAAAGGAATTCTGGTTTTCACGTAACAAGAAAAGAAGACGTTCGGCGGATCTTGGGGTGTTTAAGAGGTTCAGCCGATCCAGCCTTTTGGTGAAGAAGAAGAGGTGAGTGAGGGCGTTAGTTTTGGATGGTGTCGCGGCTGTGAGCTCGTTTGTGGGTGGAGTTGTGGTCGTGTGTGAGAGTGAAGCTCGCCGGAAACGGCAGCCTCGTGGTGGACGGCGGTCTGGCGGCGGTTCTGGGGTTGCCGGCAACAGAGGCTGCTCTAGGGTGGAGTAGATGACTAGAGGCGGCTACCGCGTTGGAAAGGAGTCCAGAAGCCCGGTCCCTTAGGGTTCACCTACTCTAAATATATATGCCGATCAGTGTTTTTTCCCGTGCTTGGAGAAAAAGAAAAGTATCTTCAATGTGTGCTCCCCAAAATTTGATGGGGAAGAAAAAGGGTAAAATGGGACCACTTTGAATTTTTGTTTCTTATACTCTTGGTCTTTTCTGCTACTTCATTTCTCTTCTTTCATTTTTTGTTGTTTTCTTCTTTTGTTTCATTTTTGTTTTTTTGTTTGTTTTCCATTTTTCTTTCTTTTTTTCTTTCTTTTTTTAGACAAGACAAAAAAAACTAATTTTTTAATTGATAGAAAATTACTAAAAATAAAAACATGATAGCCGAATAAATAAATAATAATAAAAAAAATTAAAAACTACTCAACTTATTAAAGGCCTACAACTTTTAAACTAAACTAAGTAACTATAGACATATATTTTTTGAAATTTCTCTTCTTATCTTTTTGGAAAAATAAAATATCAATAATATTTTTGTATTTTTTAATTTTATGAAAGGTAGATAAACTAAAATTAACTAGATAAAATATCAATTAGCTAAATAAAAGAAAAATATTTTTGTAAATTTTTATTTTTGTGATACAATAAAGTAAAATAGTTAAAACTAGGTAAAATAGCGATATTAAGCCTAAACTAAATATCTAAAAGCTAAAATGAGTAAAAACTCGGGGAGGGTCAAAATTACATGTCTACTCACTTAATGATTAAGATCTGAATAATTAAGATTCAGATTTTAAAAACAAACACTTAATGTATGAGATCTAAATAATTATGATTGAGACTTTCGTTAAGTGCAAACAGATGAGGTCTAAGTTGGATCGATTATATGAATCTTATGTATTCTACTCTATTCCATAATAAAGTATTATCAAATTGTTGGATTTAGTTTAAAACATTTGATGTATTGCAGAATTTTTATCACATGTTCATGTTAAGGCAATTGATATATGATGAATAGGACTGTCTATTAAGCTCCTAAACTTCAGATCCAAAAAGTGCAAGTGATAAACTTGATAGTTAAGTAAGGTGAAGATCCATTTGGGAACATGTATTTTAAAAAGCTACAATTTTTCATTTATTTATGAAAGTAAGGGCAAAATATTCCTTTAAATCCCAGACAAGCCTAATTTTCTTTTAATTTTAAGCTCTATGAATTGATCGTGTAAAAATATATATACAATCAAATCATTTATAAGACAATTACAAGTAAATTTCTTACCGTAAACGAAAACTCGCAACAAATTAAATGTTATAACTAAACTACTATCACTAACTTACACTAGACTAGAAGCGTAAAAAATCAGTATATATAGCTTGAATGTTTTTTATTTATTTGACTTATATATATATATATATATATATCCAACAATGTGTAAATTTTTACGCTATCAGTGAATTTTTACCTGTAATAACAAGTTAGTAACTATTTTTATCAGAAAATTAATTAATAATTTTTAATAAATTTATATAATAACCTAATAAGCGATCTAATTGTCTATTTTTTTTTTTGAAAAGTTAACCTAAATAGTTGTCCACTAAACCACTTAAACTAAAAATAGCCGAAAGATATATGATATAATATTATTAGAAATGCCCAAAAAAAATCATATTCGTAAAGCAGAAACATAAACGCACTCCTATGAACGTGGAAAATATACCGAATTCGATTGGTCGGTTCGAATTGGAATTGCATAGATTAGGCATACAGACATTCCAACCCGTTTTAGTGGAGGAGCGCGCTATTTGTTTACATCCATTAGTTTGCAAGGGATTCAATGCTGATTTTGATGGAGATCAAATGACTGTTCATGTACCTTTATCCTTGGAGGCTCAAGTAGAGGGCCGTTTACTTATTTTTTCTCATATGAATCTTTTGTCCCCGGCTATTGGGGATCCCATTTCCGTACCAACGCAAGATATGCTTATTGGACTCTATGTATCAACGAGCGGAAATCATCGAGGTATTTGTGTAAATAGATATAATCCATGTAATCGCATAAACTATCAAAATTAAAAAAGAAGTGACAATAGTCACTATAAGTATACGAAAGAACCATTTTTTTCTAATTCCTATTATGCAATTCGGCAGAAACGAATCAATTTAGATAGTCCTTTGTGGCTCCAGTCACGACTACCTAAATAGTCGTCCACCAAACCACTTAAATTAAAAATAGCCGGAAGATGTATAATATATATAATTTATGTATAATATGTGTAATTGTGTATAATCAATATAAAATCTATATATAGTGGCTAGAAAAAGTAATAGAGAATCCAGCTGGCTATTTGTGTAAAGATCCATTTTTTACAGAATTGGGCTAAATTTCGATAACTATTCAGCCCATCTCATCCGAATTACGGATCTGCTTTACGGCCCATATATGATTTTCAAATATTAAGAGAAAACTTTCATTATTATTATTAAAAGGAACTGAAAATTAGGGAGAGAAATAAATAAAGATACAAACATTTAAAAAAGAAATAGTAGTAATTTTCTGCTGTTAATGATCCAAGCTTAGGTTTTTAGTATCAAACTTAATTCCATTGAAAAGGGTTTTTGGAGAAATTCTTGAAACTGTGCTTAGGTTAGCTTTCTGTGAAGAAGAAAGAAGGAAGAAATATGAGATTTGACCCAAGTTGAGTTCTTGTTCCACCTTACTTCATAGGTAATTTTCTGGTGGTACCCCACAACTTTTATGTTTATTATGAAGAAAAAGGTTGAATTTTTTTTGTTGGGGTCTATAATTTCTTGAAGATGAAGTGCAACTAACTTGTCTATATGTTATGTTTAAACAGCTATAGATATTGGCTTGTACATTTTTATAGAATTATTTGGTCAAGTTGCATAAGTGCTTCTATTTCAAAGAACTTGTGTTGTTTGGTTTGATTACTGTTAATTTTGTGAATGAAATAGTAAGATTATTAATCTTGTTTCTTACTTATTAAACAGATGCTTGATTTGTTTATGTTTTTGTTTTTTGTTTAATGTAGTGTCTATATGTATAGAAGCTACATGAAATATCAAGATTCAATTTTTCACATATTAAGAGTAATTTAAATGTTCAAGGAGTTATGACAAGAAATATTGAAGTTTGATCTTCGAATGCCACAAAATGACGCTCAATGTGGTAAAGAGAGCTTTTGAATGGCTCGGATTTGCAGCATTTTCCACTTTACCATGTGTCTTTCCTCTTGTCTTTCGTTCTTTACTAGATTGTCTTTTGCCTTTGTCTTTGTTTTTTTTTTTTTTTTTTTTTTTTTTTTGGGTTGTTACTATTTTCTTTATTGAAGTGTAGTAATGTTGTTTGGAGAAGATAAGAAGGAAAATAGGACCAATTTAGGAGTTAATGCCGATATGAAGTTAATTATGAGAACAAAATGGAGAAAGGAAAAGAGTAACACAGAAGGGTCGAGTAAGTGGTTTTATTGGATAAACTATGGTTTCTTTTATGTGAAGGATGTTTTTGAAATATTTGCAGTTATGTGGGGCTTCCATGTGATTGACCTGATAATGAAAGAACAGAAGCTAGTACTTAAATTTGAATTGGCTATGATCATCAATCGTTTCATTTTGTCCTCTGCCCTTATACACTGAACCTTTCGTGCAGGTTTATTTGCTTGCTGAGACGTCCGTGTTTAAGTTGTTTAGTAGATGAAATTCTTGAATAAAGGACCTTTTTGATATAAGAAGAGATGCATATTACGTGAGAACTTCATTTAGTGCTGCGGTAAATGTTACCAGAAATTCTTGGTTCACTATTGCATCATTGCTCTAAGACCAAGGCATTCCGTTATGGCCTCTCTGTTCATGCTATGGCGATCAAGTCAGGCTTGCGAGATGACGTTGTCATATCCAATCACATCCTCAACATGTATGCCAAGTGTGGAAATATCAACTTTGCCAGTCAAGTTTTTAATGAGATGTCCGAGAGAAATCTGGTTACCTGGTCAGCCATGATCTCTGGTTATAGCCAAGATGGGAAGCATCTCATGGCTATCAACCTTTACTCCCAAATGCCACTAGCGCCCAATGAATTTGTCCTTGCTAGTGCTCTTAGTTCATGTTCTAACCTCTTGGCCCTGAAACTTGGTAGACAAATACATGCCCAGTCTATCAAATTAGGCTGTTCGTCCATTTCGTTTGTGTCCAACTCTCTGATCTCAATGTACATGAAAAACGGTCAATGTGGTGATGCTCTGTCGGTTTTTGCAAGAACACCTAATCTAACTGATGTCTCCTATAACGCAATCATTATGGGTTTGGTAGAAAGTAATCAAAGAGAGGAAGCATTTGAAGTATACAAATGTATGTGCCGACAAGGGTTGGTGCCAGACTGCTTCACCTTTGTGGGGTTATTAGGAACCTGCAATTCTGAAGATGATTTGGGGAAAGGAATGCAATTGCATAGCCAAACGATGAAGCTCAAACTTGACGGGACTGCTTTTATAGGCAATGTAATAATGATAATGTACTCAAATATAAACATGTTAGATGAAGCTGAAAAAGTTTTCAGATCAATCAAAGAGAAAGATGTCATTTCATGGAATACTCTCATTGCTGCTTGTTCTCGTTGTGATGATCATTCGAAGGCATTGCGCGTTTTTAGAGAGATGTTGGAGTATTTTGATGGAAGGCCTGATGAGTTTACCTATGCTAGTGTGCTTTCTGCATCTGCTGGCATGGGTTCTATGCAATTTGGGCGGCAAATACATGCACATATTATTAGAACAAGCTCAAGTGTAGACATTGGTGTTGGCAATGCACTTGTGAACATGTATGCTAAATGTGGCTGTATTCAGTATTCATATACAGCTTTTAGGCTAATGACTTGTCATAATCTTGTCTCATGGAATAGTGTCATTGCTGGATTTGCTAACCATGGCCATGGAAAAGAAGTTATAAAATTGTTCGAGGAGATGAGGAATGTCGGTTTAAAGCCTGATTCCNTTTAAAACCTGATTCTGTCACATTTCTTGGACTTCTAATCGCTTGCAATCATGCAGGGCTTGTAGATGAGGGCCTAGATTACTTCAATACCATGAACGAGATTTATGGGGTTACTCCTGATATTGAACATTTCTCTTGCCTCATTGATCTACTAGGACGAGCTGGGAGACTGAAAGATGCTGAAGAATACATGCAAAGATACTCTTTTGGGCATGATCCAGTTGTTTTAGGTTGCTTACTTTCAGCTTGTCGGCTGCATGGTGATGTTGTAATAGGGGAAAGAATGGCTAAAAAGCTCCTACAGCTTCGGCCAGTTTCAACTTCACCTTATGTTTTGTTATCTAACTTGTATGCTTCAGACGAGAAGTGGGATAGTGTAGCAGAGGCAAGAAAAATGTTAAAGGGCTGCGGCTTAAAGAAGGAGGCTGGTCATAGTCTCATTGAAGTGAAGGGTTTTGTTGAAAAGTTCACAATTGGCGATTTCTCTAATTCAAGGATCGAGGAAATCATGAAAGTGCTTGGTGCTTTAGGCTGTGGATGGGATGAAGAAACTTTTCTCCTTGATTCAGCATAAGAAAAGGAGTTTTGTTCCTCATTCCACTCCTTCAGCACTATTGCAACAGCTCGGTTATGCCTATAGTTGCAAGCATGCTGTTTTGGTTTCCTGTACATGCCAGAACGGAAGAGAAGCGTATAAGACATGTTCTTGTGCAGTTGTATGGGGGGAAGTGGTCACAGTCTGCTTAATCTGATGGGTTTTGGAATTTTAAGCTCGGCATGCATGAAGAACTTCTGAAATGACAGATTTTACTGAACTAACAAAAGGTATAGACTGACTTAATCTGCTTCTTTCAAACTGCTTTTGGTCTTTACAAAATTTGACCTTGGAGATGAATGTTGCAGTGGCTTCATGATGTAATTGGAAGGCTTGGTTTTCGAGCTGTTGTTCTGGAGATTTATTTGAAATTGCTTAGGTAACAGCTGATTTTATTGCCCTCATTTTTTTGGGATAGATTTGGCATTATGATACACACTGACAGAAATTTGCCTCTAAAACTGCAAGAAAAATCTTAAGTTCTTTAATCTTTCTGTTTTCAGGTATGAATCTGGTGGAACGAATACAATGTTTTTATCTTTTTGAAAACTAGTTTTCTCTATTGAGATCCACTTGTTCTTTCCCTGCATTCCATACTTGAGTTCCTAGGATCTTATGTATATTTAGGAATACCTTTGATAGAGTGAACGAAATGACGTTTGCTTTTCCGGTCTATTCTTTTCTCTGACTATCAAATTTGAGCTAGAAATAAGCTCTAAGCATATATACTTTTCCAGGTCGCATAGGAATAGTATATGTTTCGTATCACTTTTGAAAGCTTAAATATCTGCTCTAACTTGCTTAGATATCATGTAATGTGTCATGGGCTGCTTTCCAGACATGCCCCATGACCCCTTGGCCGCACCCCATGGCGGCCTAGCAAGCCTCACAATGCCTAGCGCCATGGTCGGCCCCGTGGTCTTGGCTGCGCCAAGTGACAAGCGCGCATGTGCCTCTGTCGCCCCACCGATGCCTCTCGCCAGCGCCCAAGGGCTGGCCA